TGACTATGTGCAGGGCATCATCGTTATCTCTTTGTACACAGTACACACGCCGATTCATCAGAACGCAGGTATTTACCATTGTCGTGCGGTGCAGAACCGGCCTAGTGACTCAGTGGGGGAGATTGGGGCTCGCAATTTGAATGTTTCCAGTTCAACTTCTGGTCGTGGGTTGACTCAGCCCATCATCTCGCTTAACTTACCTCCAAAGTACCATAAAGTACCACTTTGGAGGTAAGTGAAGATGGTTGTCCTACGGGTAGATTACTAAAGAGTTAAACTATTTATTTTTATTTCACCAGGTAAAGCCCACTGAGCTATTGTCTCTTATGATGAAGTGACCTGGCCACAACTGATAGCTCAACGAAGTGGCTTATCATGTGGCAATTTATAGCAGCCAAAAGAATCCAAGGACACGTGTATAAATGTGGCGGGAAATACCGGGAGACCTGGAGAAAAGTCCACGCGACTATGGGGAGAACATGCAAACTCCAAATATCCATGTGTCGGGATCGGGATCGAACCCACGACCTCCTGCATACCAGACAAGGGAGTTAACATCTCGCCACTGCGGCACCCCAATATTGAAGGACATAAAAATGAACACATCGATCGGAAAAAAAAACCCAGAGAAATCGTTGATAAAGAAGAAACGTTTGTGTATGTTGAACTTCGTTTGCACCGTACGTAACCAACAGCGTATAACAGTGGAAACTGTTATTATTTTTACATAAAAAAGTAAGATTTGAAAATAAAAATAAACAAATTACCAAAAATTCTACTTTTTAAAAATGCGATATCCAGAAAAAGAGTCGCGTTTACTTTTTTACCAGGTAAGGCGCACTGAGCTTTTTTTCAGAAGCAACCTGGCCACAGATTATAGCTCAACAAAGTGGCTTATCACGTGCACACTTATAGCAGCCGAATACTCGAAGCGCGTGATGTTGATTCTACATGTGGAGGGAAAAACCGGAGGACCTGGAGAAAAATCCACGCGGCCACAGGGAGAGAGAGAGATACGCAAACTCCAAATATACAGCAGCAGGCGTCAGGGTTGGGATCAAACCCACGACCTCCTGCATACCAGACGAGGTAGTTAACATCGCCTAGCCACCGTGATGATGATGAGAGAGAGAGATACACAAACTCCAAATATACAGCAGCAGGCGTCAGGGTTTGGGATCAAACCCACGACCTCCTGTATACCAGACGAGGTAGTTAACATCGCCTCGCCACCGTGATGATGATGAGAGAGAGAGATACGCAAACTCCAAATATACAGCAGCAGGCGTCAGGGTCGGGATCGAACCCACGACCTCCTGTATACCAGACGAGGTAGTTTACATCGCCTAGCCACCGTGATGATGATGAGAGAGAGAGAGACACGCAAACTCCAATTATACAGCAGCAGGCGTCAGGGTTGGGATCAAACCCACGACCTCCTGCATACCAGGTGCAGTAGCCCTGCCCTGTGCATGTGTAAACTGCATATTTATTAAAATAAATACTGTAAGCAGACGATATATCTCCTTTATATATCCGTTTCTCCACGTGAAAAACCAAAAAATAATTTCTTACCCGACCCATCGGCCGCACAGTCTGCTGATTATACACTTTTCCCGGACATTGCTGACAAATGACAAAAAGAGAAGAAGTTTAAGAATTGATTTGAAGTCTCGGGAGGGGGAATGAGTCTCGTCCGGATTGTTTCTCAAAATAGCTTCGAATTAAACGCGTCTTAATCGTGATTTGTGGCCACGTTTTCAGTGGTGTTGAGAAATGCGTTGACATTGCATTCGGCCCCTTATAATAGTGCACCGTACATTGACACCACTCCAGTACACGTACTCTCAATAAGCCAGTTGTCCTTCAGACGCTGTCTTTCCGACAGACTTGTTCAGACCTGTTCTTCACCTGAGGACGGCTGCTTGCGTTGTGGCCGAAACGTCGTGAGAATAATTTTACTTTGTTTTATTTTTATTATGTTATTATTTCCCTTCTACGTGACTTTACCGAAATAACCAAGAAGATGAAGCCAGTTGTCGTTTATCAATCACGGCTGAGATGCAACGTAACATTGAAATCACTTGTAATTATACTTGTATCCTCGGCTCAGATGATTTAGATTATATGCCTGCTATAAATCTACACGCGATAAGCCACTTCGTTGAGCTATCGCTTGTGGGCAGGTCGCTTCTGAAAAAGAAAACTAATAGCTCAGTGAGCTTTATCTGGTAAACTCGTTATTTTCGTTCGATTTAATTACCTTGTTGTGAAACGTTCTGACCGGCACCCCGACTGGATGTCTGTTGGGGAAAAAAACAATGAAGAGCTTTCCAGCTCATCGGATTCCTCCCCCAGCGTCAACAAAGCTTCTGATTCTGAAGAGAGAAAGCTGACCGCCTTTTGGCAGCAGTGTCCCCGAGCCAACTGCAACAAGCCTTCCTTCCCGTCATTGTGCTCGTGCGTGGTTTGCCGAGGGGGCTTCCTGTACATACAGCTGCTTACACTCGGCCCGCAAGAAAGGGGGATGCAGTGAATTCCCAATCCTGTTGCACTGGATTGAAGATGCGCGCGCAGAAGCTCTGCAACGCAATCGACATTGTTTTGTTTTCATGGCCATCAGTGTGATGGTAAAGCCGGCGTTTCTGGGCTCTTCGGGGATTGCGTATCGTTGAGCTTTCTCTCAATTTTTCTTAGGTTTTTTCGGTAAAGTCACGTAGGTAAAAAATTAAAATTAATGAAAGTAAAATAAAAATAAAGTAATATAATAATTTTACATTTTATTTTTTATTTAACTTTTATTCATTTTAATTTTTTGAAGCTTTCGTGACTGCAAGGATTCATATACTTAGTTTTTTTTCCGGTAAAGTCACGTAGGTAAAAAATTAAAATAAATAAAAGTTAAATAAAAAGAAAATAATAAAATTAGTATGTATTTAAATGTATTTATATAATTATTATATTATTTTATTTTTATTTTACTTTTATTAATTTAAATGTTTTACCTACGTGACTTTACCGGAAAAAAACCCTAAGAATATGAATCCTTGCAGTCACGAAAGCTTCAAATCTAGAATTTCTCTCAATTCCTTGAGCTCGGAGCATTCAACAAGTCCTGGTACTGTACCCGGCATATGGTATTGTTGCCATGAGAAAGCTGTCGCTCTTTTTGCGGTCGTGTGGAATAGTTTGTGTATGTACGTGACATGTTGTGGATACGCTACGTGTTGAATGTGTTTGCACGTGGACAATTATCTTCAACGACGTTTGCCATGGTTGCATGTTAATTACTACAACACGACTTGAAGTGACAATATGGTTGGGTCAGAAATTATTGGCGAGGGTGGGATTAAGAAATATTTCTCAAAATATGACACATTTTTGGAAATATTCCTTCAATTAATTCACTTTTAAGAGATTTAGAATTTGTAGTCTTGATTGAACTTGTCATCTGATTCTGAGTCAATGGCTTCCAACTACAGCGACAACCAGTGATGTAAACTCCACAGTCGACGCGATCCTCATTAGTTATCAGCAACATCATTGTGCGTGCGTGCGTGTACCCATACTTCCATGACCTCTCATTCTGGGAGTTTTGGAGCGGCCAGACTGCTATTGTGGAGTGCACAGATGTTGTGTCAGAGATCTCGGCAGTGCATTTAAGTGCCACGTGAATGGCACGCAATGGGTCGCCCCCACTGGCATCGCCTCCCAGTGCGAATGCCAAGGTTTCGCATCTGCACTGGTGTCGAGATGTTAATGACCTCGCCTGGTATACAGGAGGTTGTGGGTTCGATTCAGACCCTGACGCCTGCTGCTGTATATTTGGACTTTGCATGTTCTTCCCGTGGTCACGTGGATTTTTCTCCCGGGTCCTGCTGTTTTCCCCTCCACATTTAGAAACATGCGCTTCGATTATTTGGCTGTTGTACATTTCCACACGATAAGCCACTTCATTGGGCTATCAATATTAGCCAGGTCGCTTCTGAAAAAGAGCTATATAGATCATTGGGCCTTGCCTCGTAAAATTAGAACTAGTTTTAGTTTAGTCAAGAAGGACCACGCTGGTGTGATGAGACTGAGGGCACTGCCCTTGTAGGGTTGGTGCTGACTGATTAACATGAACACTGGTTTGTATCAAGTCAATAGTGGTCATCTTATGGACAAGAATGGCCTCCCATCTGCAAATTAAATAGTCAACATTGACTCAAGGCCATCACTGGAAATGAGGGCCAACTTCGTGCTTGTTTGAGCACGGAGAAACGTATTATGAGACACTTTCCATAATATTGTTCAAGTTGTTTTCAGTTCCTGAATTGCCTTTGCTTACTTTGTACAGCGAGTGACATCATAATAGCCGGCCTCGCATTAACTAAAATTCTTGCCCCAGGCAAGAAAACAATTTAGTGCCCCTTGAAAGCAATTCTGTTGTAATAACCCTGTCACACTGCTATCATCTGTTGTCATTTGTTATCTGGATTACCACTCGTGTGTGTTACCTATTACATGCTCACTTTATGATGTCTCTGTAAAACTGGGTTACAACTATACAGTTCTGTGTCATCGGTGCACCGAGCAGCGTTGCACCGCGGGGAGCTGCCCCTGATCGCCTGCCTCTCGCGTAACAGTCGCCCACATGTTTCGGTTAATAATTGATTTTAAATGACATTCACTCATTACATCTGGGGTACTCTCATGAAGCAGAATGCATGGTCATGTACACGAACATATTTTGTATCAAATTAAAAACGAGCTTATTTCGGTCAATTGACGTATTATTTAGGTATAATTTTGTTTGTTCGTTTACGTGGGTTTATTTATTGTTTTTAGCAGAGAGAGGGTCGTGGTTAATCTCTTCAATTTCTGCAGATTGAGATGCCCTTTCTGCCTGTTCCACAAGATTCAATTTAAAGCCATTTCCCTGAATTGCATTCGATATCTTTTTGCTCATGTTTGTTTCCATTGGCTCTCGACCATTTGTTGTGTCTGTTATTTTACAGATAACCACTGGTGCTAGTGGCATGCCACATGCCGAAGAAGCAACAACAACTGCCCCCCCAAATACGGACATGGTTGCACCGTGATTCTGGGTTTACAAGAATCCTGTCGCTGGGAGTCGGCATCGATCTCCAAGTTTAAGTTTGGCTGAAGGATATTTATTTTATTTTATTCCTGGCTCTGGGCTGTATCTGCCTCTGTGGAAGAAAAAAAAACCCAGCAGGCATTGACGATACTGGACCACGAGTGATTATCACTGACCAAATCTACAACTGGATCTCTCGGCGCTGCCTTGGATGGATACGAGTAAGAACAACAGTGGATGCTTCATCCGGTCAGATCATTGTTGTCTTGACGCAGAAATCTGATGCCAAACAAGCGTTCTTTGGATTCATGTTAAAACCGTGACTTTCTATTAACAGATGCAAACAAAATATCATGAAGCACCCCGGCAATATTTAGGTCCCAGCGAAGGATGCTGAAGATGTTGCTTGTCGTTTTGCTCATTAGTTGGCACCTTTCCACGTGGCCAGTTGTCGAATAAAAAAATAACAACCCCTTTCGCACCGTGAATTTCAACAAACCGGGAACCTACGTGGCAAGGCTTTCAAACAAAAAGAAGAGAGAAGACACTGGACTTAAAAGTCATGGCATCCAGGGACAATTCTCGCGTCCCCAGGGGATCGAGTGGGCTGACCAATGGCTTTCCTGGGATCATGTACCCGCCGTACACATTTCCCGGCCCTCTGGCTGTGAGCAGGCTTTCCCCCAAGACCTTTGGCTTCTCAACCCAGGGGCTGTCAATGCTTCACCCGCAGAGGCCCATCAGCGGTTACAGCACCCCTTCTCCTGCTAGTAAGTGTCTCATGCACTCACATTAACAAATGCACTTTCAATGCCGCGGTTTGTGCTCAACGGTATCGGGGATAAGCTGTGGTGGTTCATGACGTTAGATTGTTTGTCGGTTTTCCAAGCTCTTTAAAAGTGTACAAGATTCAACAGTGTTGGTGTCAATTGCACTGCTCAACTTGCTGGTTTAACTTGATGGACAAAGGGAAGACTGTTTTATAAAACCTGTATTCATGGTATGGTCAGCTTGAGGTCTTTAACATCAAACTCATCAAAACATTAAAAAAATCCCACATACCGACATGCACGCTTTAAAAGACAGCTTTATAGTAATTACGGTGATTTCTCAGTCATCTGTCGAGACAGGGCCCCTTAAGTGCCTTAATAAGCCCCCTTTTTCCTGTGCACATGTTCTGTCTGTGGTCGCACACACTGGGTCATGGCGGTGAAGAAACCCTGACTTTTTTTGTCTTGACGCATCACATTGCTTCCAGCCTGCGTGGCCAGACAGTGATAAAGTCATGCAATCTGCCAAAACGCCTGCTTTTGATGAATGGTTTTCCCCTGGATGATATAAGTCGAGGACCTTGCGCCTTCCGCATTGACACGGGATCCGAGGAGGAGCATTTAACTCTTTCCTCCTGGCATCTACGGTGCGTGCGGTGGCTGCTTTTGCCTCGGATTGCGAGTGGCCCCTATGCTGCAGCAGTGCGCGCTGCTGAATCAGTTCCAAGCAAAAAGGCATTCTTGTGAAAAATTCCATCATACAGCAGCTTCCTCTTGCCATACAAGATCCTGTTTTAAATCACACCCAGGTTTGTGCTCGCATTCTAAAACCGGAGTGCACTTTTCATCCCGAAAATAAAATATTTTGCTTGTCAGTAAAATTGCGATTCATCCGGATATGGAGTACCTTTCCTTCCAGTGTTTTTTTTTAACGTTTATTTATAGAGACCGAAAGACCATTTAGAGTTAGCGCTGCCATAGTGCAACAGTTAGCAACTGAACTTGCAAGCCAGAGGCCATCAGCTCGATCTTCCCAGTGCAGCAGTTACAACAACGGCGCGAGTTTATTTTAGTCCCCTCGGAACTCTGTCCACCCAGCAGCGGTGTGAATGGGCTCACCGCAGCGAGTCCATCAATAGGTCGTGGATGGTGGAGTGAACTGGGGGTAATCTCACCTCTTTCGAGATGTTTGGCCAATGCTAAATACCCTCTAGAGGGGCTCTCTCTCTGTAGCTCCCTCGAGTGGAGGCCCTTCTTACAGCAGGGGCATTGCGCTAGGAATTGCAGGGCTGAACCTTCACATTTTTCACCGCTGAGGTGTGAATGCACTGCACATGTTCTAGACAATGTGGTGAGCTTGCAAGCTGGCCCCTTTTATATTTCAGCGAGGAAGCCTTTTGAAAGGGACACCGTATAATTTAAAATAGCACGAATGAATAGCATGAATATGAAAACTAAATATTTTGAAGGCTTAACAGGAAATGCAATATAACAGTCCAGTATTAAAATATAGTTACATTATGAAGACAAGTGCATATTTGGGTCCACGAGATTTTTTGACACTTAACCGTTGCCATCATGAATTCGGGAGGTATATCGGGACCTTCTTTAATTTGTTCTTGTTAACTTCACTGGATGAACCGCTCTCGTCTTGTTTAAAGTTCTCCACATGTAGAAGTATTTTTGTTTTCGATCGTTTTCCTTTAACGCCGTCAAATGTGCAGAGAGCTTTACTCTCTTCTCGTTATATTTTCGGGCTGGGTGCCTCTGGAGTACACCTGTGCTCACAATCCGAGGGTCGTTTTTGATTTAAAGCTTTCGTGACCGCAGGGATTCATATTCTTGGTTCTGTCGGTAAAGTCACTTAGAAGGGAAACAATAAAATAATAAAAATATAAATCAATAAAATTCTCACGACGTTTCGACTACAACACAAACAATCATCATCAGGTGTGAAAAAACACAGCAAGAAATTGTTTTTTTGCTGTGATGACGATTGCGTGTGTTGCAGTCTAAACGTCGTGAGAATGTAATTGTTTTATATTTTTATTATTTTATTGTTTCCCTTCTACGTGACTTTACCGATAGAACCAATAATATGAATCTGAGGGTCGTTTGTTCAATTGCAAGTTGGGGGGAGAGGGGGGCGATCAAGTCAACCAACTGACCTCGTGGGACGGCTAAATTAGCACCTCCTTTGTGGAAGCCCAGCAGCGGTTGTCCGCTACAGAGATACTGGCCCACGCCATAGAAACGTGGAATGTGTTGACACTCGCTTAAGGCTGCCAAAAGAGGTGGAGCATTTCCCCGTGTTCATTTGAACGTGGAGATGCTGGCTTTGACGCGTCTTGTTGTAACAATTTGCATCTTCATGAGAGAGAGAGAGAGAGAAACTGTGTGTGTGTGTCATGTGAGAGAAAGTTGTTGTAGGTATGTTGAACTTCTTTCGCACCGTACGTCGCCAACCGTGCTAATCAAAGGTGCTGGGGGAAGGACAGCAAACTATACGTAAAGAAAAACAAAAAAACTGTTCTCAAGAAAAGTTGTGCCTTACAAAATTATCAGCCTTCTTTGCTCGAGTCGGATAGTTGCCAAGGCTGTAAACGAGCATCTTAAGTTGAGTTTTACAAAAAGAAGAAAGGCTTTAAATGAGATTGAGGGGGAAAAGAGATAACGAGAATGTATTTTTGTCCGTACACAAAATACACCATTAATATTTCAAAAAACAACATTTACCACGGTGGATAGAGGGAGGCCCTCTATCCGTGGCACATTTATCACAGGTGTCAGTACATAGCAACACTGTGGAGGTGCTGGAGGAGGTTGCTTTGTTGTGTTGTGATTTATCTGCTACAGGGGGTAGTGGGGGGGGCAAACAGATCTCTTGCATTATCAGGGAGAGTTCTGATGAATTACATCAAACATTTTGTCAAATTAGAGGGCAGCTTGAGTGCTTAAAGACAACTGTTTGAGGCAGGAATAATGTACGTGTCACTGTCAAAGTGAGATAGCCGGAACTTGGATAAATTAGCAAAACAACTCGGAAAGAGCCTTTTGTCTTTGAATACCTGGGCTTGTAATAAGTATGTATGTTGAACTTCTTGCAGTTTCAGTTTCATGTATTAGGTATAGCCCTGTGAGCCATTCGGCTCTTGAATCGGGTGCAACCGCAACAAACAAAAAACAAAAACATGAAACAAAAACAAGAAAACATTATAAAGTGACTATGTAACTATGTGCAAACATAAAATTCAGAAAAAGACAGCGAAATATTCCACAAAAAACACCGTACACCAACGCTGTGTGCAAAAATCCCAGTGGGATGCAAGTCAAACAACAACAACAACCACCACAAGATACACCAAGCGCAGCCAACCGTGGTAATCTCCAGGGTAAAATAACTTGGAAGTTCAGTTTAGACTTTGGTATAAACGTGCTGCACATCTAATGAGGAGGTGGAGATTGCGATGCTTGAGATCGTAGATGAGGGCTGGTGATCAACGCAGACGTTGCGCGCCAAGAGTTCGACAACCGTTCCCTACCCGTACCCGTACGCTACCCGAAATGAGTGACAAACGACTACTCACCAGTGACTCACGGCCTACCCGTACCCGGCCGCATCAGGGTCGCAAACGGGTACCCGTACCCGGCCAGGTACGGGTAGCCGGGTATCGGGTAGGGTATCGGGTACCCGATTGCGACCTCTGCCGAGAGCCATCTCCGAGTGCGGATCGTGGGATGCTGCTGGATCGTGGGATGCTGCTGAAAGAGATGAGCACGGAGGTCTCCCGTCGACCTTGCAACGGCTTGCTGGATCTGGTAGAAGGAAGCCATGGCAATGCGTGGCGGCCTCGGTGGCATTGGCCATGATGACCCCCTGTGACCCTCTTCACAGCTTGCTGGGAACTTGATGGCAGTTTAGGGTAAGCAAGTTGGAGGTTCGGAATAGAACGCGATGCAAAGCGCTGTGTGTGTAACCAAGAAGAGGCGATGATGATGATGATGAAAGGTGGTGCATATTTGCAGGATAGAGGAGTGCCCGTTACGACAAGACATTTGATTGGGCACCCAGAGGTCAGAGACCAAGAGGGAGATATGCATCTACACCTCCGATTATCATCGCTGGCTATGTATGATGCAAAAGAAGTTCGACACACATGCATGGTGGGTTACAGTACGAGTGAGAGCAGACCTTGGACGACGCCTATGGCCTCCAGCAGAGGGGAAGGGGAGTCGTAGCGAGGGTGCGGTGGCATCAACGCCATTGGTGTTGATGACCTCTTGACCTTGAGCACGTGATAAATCACGGCCCATTTCTCATGAGCTGCCGAGAAGGCCGCTTGCTCGCGCTGTGCACTGACGAGCTGGCCGGGAACGAGCGGGAGGTAATTCCCAGGACGCCCCGTGTCTCGTGCGCTCATCCATCAGCTCTGGTGCACAACGGATGGAATGCATGGCCGTCACGACGCCAAAGCCCACGCCATGAAAAATTACTCCCGATAAAATCATATGCAAATATCCATGTTCTATTTTGTAAGCGCACACGCGCGCAGAAAAAAAAAATAACTTCCCCTCCTATTTTTTTCTCACAATGTCCCTTCAAAGTTTGCTGCTGTTTCATTTTATTTTGTTTTGCTGGGATGGTTTGATTTATTAAAAGCCATTGTCAGCAAATAATGCATTACCGCGGTTCTATTACTGTGTGGGGAGCAGTGGCACGGTCGTTAGTTAGTACACTGGACCGTAAACCTGGCCGCCTGCATTCAATTTCCAGTCAGAGCGAGCATTCGTGAGGTTATCTGAGCCCTGTTCTGGGCCCTCCCCCCATTCACCAAACTAGGCTGATCAGCGTATTGAGAGTTACATTTTAATGTACAATTTTTTATTAAGGAACTGTGCATTGTCTTGGTGTGGTCTTGGACTGTTTTTGCTGTTGTTTTATTGCCTTTCCGAAGCTTGGGAATTGATGATGCAATTCAAACTTATTTGTTTATTTAAGG